AGAGCTCCATTAATATTTTTAAAAGCTTGAGCCGGCGTCAGAAGAACACGATAGATGGGGTAACAATATCAATATCAATTCATGCAACTGCAACTATCGACGTGCGACATCATAAATAAACGCGCTATAGCTTTCGGAATATTTCATTCAAAATACTTGTTCTATTGCCTTTTGAAATCCCAGAGCAGTCAGCTACATCTTGCTACTTTGCCATTCAATTATAAAGAATAGTTTTCATGATTTTTTTCCTGGTTGCTGATATATAGTCACTTCCATCGGTGCCTTCACCTGCTGCGTTCAGTATCGTCTGTACGATCTACAAAACAACGGGAAAATTGTTGTCTTCAGCAGGGATGAGTTGCCATAATACTTTCCAAGACAATGCTGAGTGTCAATGGTATTTTTTTTACATGAGTGATTAAGACATGCAATTTGTACTTTTCCATTGTTCCGTAACTAAAGGATGTATGGCCACTAAAAGCACTTTGTTGGAAGATTCCAAATATTCACTTCATTGTTAAAGATGATATTTACGTTCCGGGATTTATTGATCGAAGTGTTATTCGTAATGTAAAGCTGTAAAACGTTTAGCAACGACCGCCCCTTCCACTCCGTTTCTTGTGGGAAGGAAGCAAGAGAGAGAAATATTCTTTATTTCATTTGTTATACTTCACAAAATACTCCCTCTACCAACTGCTCAGGTTATTATACAAATCCAAGATTTTAGAATGACGGCTATGACTTCCTAGTCGAAATGCGTGCAAGCATTGCGATAACGTTTTTACAAATGACTATTAAGAATTCTATTGCAGGTACGCGCCGATCAATCATGGAATTTAGATTCAGAAAAAGCCATCTTTTTTTATTTTTATATTCATGGCAGAGTGATGATGTGCGTGTAATGTAATAACTCATAGCGCTTCCTTTCGCAGCAGCCTTAAAAACTATTAGAGCTATAACATAGACTAAAAACACCTTACGAATCATTAGTTAAATGAAAATTTTCTTTTCGAAGCCAAATATTTGTTTCTGGTTAATGGACGTGATCGTCCAGCCACCAGATGATAGCGCAAACCCTACTCTGCGACCTAAAACAGTGACCATAGGAAACATCCGTAAGTGTTGCAAGTCAAATGAATGATTGTGAAGTAAAAGCCTCGTGAAGATAACAATAAAATATGCGAGAAACATGTCGTTTAAATGTTCACTTTGTTCTTACTTACGATTTTAACTGAAATTGTTGACACACACTTATCAGTAATCGATCAAAAAAAGAAACAATGGAATGTTTTTGTGAGTACGTGGTGTTAATTCAGCGAAATCGTAAATGTCGCTTAACAGGTCGTTGACAATATGAGCTTAGAGCATGGACCCATTATTCAACAATTCCTTGATTGCAATTAAGCCGCATACTGCCTCAATCAATCTTAATCTTAATCTTAATTTTTTTCATAAAACGGAATTTTCGTAAAATAATTCTCAGGATACCTAATAAAACCACATTTGAACACACATCCGACATGCCGACGGACAAGCTTAGATCGAGTCTGAAAATGACCCAAGATCGCCCCGTTCAAAAAAAAATTGGACGGTTCTTGCGTGTGTTACATACTACTACCCAAACATGGAATGCGTTGCGTTAGTGGGTGACATCAAAGTGAAAGAAAAATTTAAATAAACGACACTATTCCAAGATAATTTCATGGTAATGTGTCATATAGTGATTTAGTTATGCTATAGATAAGAAAAACTTGTCCCAAAATACACGCGATCTTCTTAATTTGAAGAATCGATTTTGGATAGAATATTCCTGCATCAAAAAAGTCTGCCGATTCAAGAGTTTATGCATACTTGGAAGTCGTCGAAAAATTGCACTGTGCGAAAAGAAGATATCAGCGAAGTGTATAGAAAATTGTGATTTGTCCGGGAAACAAAGTCGGAGAAAGAGAAAATTGCTAAACTCTTTACGATCTTTGATCGTAGTTGCACTGAACAAGACTGACGGAGCAAGTTCTTATTCAAGGTAATCGGCAAATTACCTTTTTAATCGTGAATGGCAGCAATTGTTACGGAAAAGAATAAACAATTGCTGCAAAATGCTATTACTATTACTAAGCTTGCTACCGATTAAATGACTATAATGTAGTCTACAAGTGCAACTTTTCCAAACGTATTATCAAGGAGAAAATTACAAATGTTTATCATATTTTCGGACAGACAAAAATACGCCTCTATCTCAGTTAAAAACATAAGAGAAGTTGAAATTTCTTTTAAATTTTCTTATTAGAATCCCCTTACAATTTTCTTTTTTACTGTGTTGTTACTACAACGGGCGATCGACATGACTACCGAGCTGCCTGTACAGCCTGCCTCTTATTTTCTAGCCTTTGGTTTATTATTGTTTACGCAAGTATTGGTATCCCTGACATAATTTGAAAGCACTAATAACTTAATTCATAAAAATTTTTCTTCACGCACACAGGTTATTCTTTGCAACACAATACAAAGTTTTCAAAATCTGTTTAATATTAAAAAATGTTCTATAAATATTTTTATTGATAAATGAGCTTAATTAAGAGCTGCCGACCAAATAACAATATTATGTACGAGAATTTTATTGATATTATGCTCAAATGCTAATAAAGTGGAAAATATTTTCATAATAATTTAAAAATCTCAAATTAAAAATAAAAATCTCTTTAAAAGTCAATTAGATATAAAATTTCCAATCGCTTATATTATTATCATGAAAAAGAAAGAAACCATAGCAATTCTACTACTTCCAATCACATAAATTGTGAAATATTAAACTGAAACCAACAGCATACTATAGATGAGATGATGTTTAAGAGAAACGAATTTGCGTATTGTTAAAGGCCTGATATTATCGACATCATCGGCATCACCGGCATCATCTGCATCATCGATTAAAACTTCCAGTCGAATGCGATGCAAATGGTTTAAATCAATATCAACTTGCAATGCAAATTTAAATTACAATTGTGTTACGGTGTGCATGTGTTTTGCCACTCATCTGTTGCTGGTTAGGTGTTGTAAACCTTGGGCTTCTAAATAAAAGCACTTTATACAAGCGTAGTAAAAATTTTAGTTGTGCAGTAATACAGTGAATCTGTTCAACTCGAAAGAAGACTTATAAAGTATTTGTAGTAGTGGGCTGCGAAAGAGCATTTTCTTTTTTTTCTCTTTTTAATTTTCTTGAAATATTTGTTAAATTTAAACCGTATAATTAATTAACGATAATTAATGTTTCTTTGTTTTAAATTCAATTTTGAGTTTTATCACGCAATTAGGTCAAGTCTATCTAGGCGAAAAAGTGGTTTGCATGCTTAACCGTTGACCAGCGAAGAAAAGTGTTTAAAATGAAATGGCAAGATAGAAAAAGAAAATGGGAAAAAATTGAAAATGAAAAAGCAAAATAAAAAATTGCAAACTAAGTCATGGCAGCAAATACTTGCGCATGCAACTATAATGGGTGTACATATTGAGCATATTTTACAACCTTGTTATTACGGTGTTATGGCACCCGCCGATGGCTGACTGAGTTAAACTTACCGACTATAGGAAAGCAGAGCTTAAATTACCAGCATGGTTTTGGAATAAAACTATATAAAGATCGCATTTTTTTTTTTTTTTTTTTATCTCTTCTTTGCAACAAAGATATACAATTAAGGAAAGTAACAGGAGGAGGAGTAGAAAAAAAGATTGAATTTTTTTTTTTTTAAGAAATAGATAAATCAAAAATTATGGCCTTTGTAATATCGTTTTGTTCACATCGACGATTTAAAATTTCTAAAAAAATTTCACGTAATGTTATGCTAAAGACATGAATTCACTCAGAGAAGACAATAAAGTTTTCATCACATCGTTACGCAGAAAGTCATTCTGTATCGCGACTACGAAAGAGGCTTTTCTTAAACCACTTATGTGAAAAAAAATTGTAAACCGGAAAATTTTCAGTAAATAAACCTTTCCTTGTCGGCTGAAGTAATCTCTAAAATAGTTAAGAATAAATATTGAATAGACAAAAAGGAATTGATTTCCCAGTAGGGGGGAAGTTAAACTGTTAAACGCCTATAAAACAACTACCAGTAGAAACACTACAGTGGTCTATCGTCGATGGGCCACATTTTATTAAAAACTAGGTCAAAAATTGTAGCAATATGGACAGGCGGACAGACATGCTTAGAATCGTTTTCTGAATCGATGAATATTATAAACGGTAGGTCTATCCCAAGTCCTCTTATGTATTTCGCACAAGCTTAGTATATTTTTGTAGCACAATTGGCCTAGCGTGTAAGGGTTACCTATTCTTTAGACGAAAAGTGAATTTTTTTCAATCACTCAAAAATCAACGCTTTCTAAAAAATCCTTAGCGTTTCTCTAGATGCAGATGTGTGAATTACATTTTTTCCTTTTTCATGCTCTGGGCGCCAGATACTTTTACTGTTAAACATTTCCCGCAAGAATGGCTCCAACGTCATGTATTAGTGCTTTCCAAAAATAAATTTTGAAATGGTATCTCTAGGTACCCTTTGAAGAACTTGTGGTTCCTCTTAGCGAACCAATGCTTCTCTATCAGTTTCTCAGCTTGTCGTCTGTTTTCGTCGTAAAAATAAATTTTTTTTATTAAGCGCACAGACCAACCGCTCTTTACCTACAAACTGATTCTTTTATATCACATTTGAACTTTTTGGTTCCAAAAGCTAGCTCTAAAGTTTCTTACTGAAGAGTTGCACACCTCTTCACATTTCTTACTTAATCCGATTGCGCAACACGTTGTTGTTTCTTAACCTAGACATTTTGCAATTTCTTATAACCGGTCTTCAAGTTGATCTTTGTATTATTAACCTTATCTTTTATGGGTTGACATTTTAAGGCTTGTTATTCTTTTTCATTGTTTTTTAAATTTTTTTTTTTTATTTTTATATTTCTTGCTGTATATATTTTTTAAAATATTTGTAATATTTTTTTCTCCACAGATTTTAAATGTCTTTTTTACTTGCTTTTGAAAACGGTAAGTAAATTGTATTTTTTTATTACATATAAATATCGTTGTTATTTATAATTATTGTGTAACCTTAGCAAAATTAAATCTCACATACATTAGTTTTAATAGAGTAAAATTACAAAATTTAGTCATTAAATATGGTTGGTTTTCATTAAATTCCCAAAATATTATAAAATCATGAGAAATTTAAGCGCATTCAACATTTAATATACAAAAAAAAAAAAAAAAAATATTGTAACCGAAAACACCTCAACAAAAGACAGATACACAATAGAGAGACAGGCAGGCATTCAACATGCAATGCTGATATGGAACATGCATGGGAATCATCTTCTGCCGTATGAAGGAAGAATGAAAACCAAACAACAACAAAAAAGAACGTTTGCTTTAAAAATACAAAAGAAATTTATGTTAATAACATGCATTTATATATCACTTTTATGATTATTCATAAAACACAACAACGTGTATGCGTCACAGTATATTCTTCTTCTTGTTTATATTTTCGCTTTTTTTTTCTTTTTTTTTTTTTTTGAAGACCAACAAACACGAAAGAACCCAAAGAGAAATAAGAAGGGCGGGATGTATGCTATACATATAGAATTCTATCATAACGAAAATACATCCATATAACAATAAAAAGTCAACTTCCGTTTTCCGGTGCCAAGAATTTTACACAAGACTGCTGTAGTTAAAGCATACATGAGAAGGAGCAAAACTTAAAGACAAGATATAAAAAAAAAAATTTATGTGATTGAAAAAAGTTTTTCTGCGGATGCTATAAGAAGAGTAAGAAAAAGCTTTGATTCTAAAAAATTGTAAACTTCTCTTTAGAGTGCAAGCTAGCTTCTAATATTCCACACTTGCTAACTCAGAGTTCTACAAGAGAAACTCTGGTGCAAAGCAATCTTGTATGTCTTGTTAAACACCTCCAACGCTGCCTTTATCGTAACTATTAAATTGTGTGATACTTTTCTCCATTTCGTGACGTGTGTAGTGCATAATTTGTGCAGGTTGTTCACATTCTTATAAGTAATAATGATCTATGCATGATACAGAGACCTTGAATCATGTTCATAGCTTTCCCAGCTTTTCTCGAAGTGCTTCCTTCTATATATATAAATAAAAAAATTCGTAGCTTCTTTTTTGGGCTAATTGGGTTTTTAACGCAAAATTTTAAGCAATATTTCTGATAGGGCTTACGAACAAACGCATCTTATATATAGATTGCAATTTCTCCAATCGTTTTCCAAATACAAAATAGGCGCCAAAAATCTTCAAACAAATCGCTACTATTATTATAGCCGCAAGACTTGATTGCTGCGCGTTTTTTGAAAAACTCATAAATTTTTGATCGCACTACTCGTTACGTACGATCTCGTTTAGATATCCTTCTGTGATTCTTCAATAACTTTTGAAGTCCAACCCAGTTTTGTAATGCTTATAATGTTTTTTTATCAGCAAAAGAGGAAGTCCAAGTCAATTGTCATGGTATTTAAGAAGAAGAAGAATATGTTTATTTGAGGTGCAATCGAAATGTGAATAAGTACTTCACCACGTAATCTCTGCAATCCACTAAAAAACCGTTCTTAGATTTGTCCAATGTTTTCAAAACATAGAAAGCTTTGTCAGGCTTATAGGCATGAATAGTTTTTTTTATTTTTTTGTTTTAGACAGGCCCCCCTCTCTCCCTCTCTATCTCTCTTTCTCTCTCTCTCTCTCTCTCTCTCTCTTTCTCTCTCTCTCTGTCCCTGTTTACTGAAATGTAATAGTAACGTCTAAGTAAGTTTGTCTGGACGAAGAAATTTGGTGTTAAACATTTCTTGGTCGCTATCATCAGTTTCAGCTCCAAAACCAGCAAAATGGGCCTCTTGAAATGAAGATGCGTCGCCCATAACTGCCCATAAGCACTTATCAATTGTTGTCTGCAGAAATATTCTAAATATGGGCGATATGTGGGGCAGAGTAAATGGATTTTTGCTCAAGTGCAGTGTAGGAGTTTCGTATTTTCTTTCTTGTTATGAAATATGATATGTGCGATGGGGTGTGGGGCTTATATTAGGTGAATGGACGTTTGCAATCAAATATGGGATAATTAGGTACCCGTTTCTTCCTAAGTGTTCTTCAGCTCTATGGATTTTTCAATTTTGTAAACATTCTTGTTCATTCTTAAGAACATCTAAATGGTCAACTATATATATATATTCAACTGTGTGCAATATAAACAATGTAACAATCGAAATATCTTGTATTTTCATTTTTTTTAATGCACTACTACTAAGTAAGTGATATATGGTAACTAATTAATAATTAAAAAAAAAAAAACTTAAGCGCGAAGTTTTAACTGAAATTAGTCACGTCCCGAATATGCATAAGGGATTCTGATATTGATTTGCAAAAACAATCCTTTACACGTCCAATGAAATAGTGATTACTTAAACCACAAAGATTTATGAGCAACGAGCGATATTTAATTGAAAACCATTTGCTCAGTTTATGTGTAAAGCGAAGAACAAAAATTTCTATAAAAATGTATTGATATTTTGATATCAATTCTTCTCGATGATAAAGAGCTCGCACGTCTGATGCAAGAAATTTTTCGCTTAAATTGCAAACCGAAGAAGCAAAGGCGGTTTATCAAACAAAGTAATTTGCAAAATAGATTTCTATCTCATTCTCTTAAATCGCAAAACTGCATTACTTACCAAAGAGTTAACGTTTCCATTGCATAATAAAAACATCTGTACACAATCGCTTTAAAATATTGTCAATTAAACAGTTTTACTGCTGCGCTAAATCAATTAACTAATGACTATTTTAAATACTATCCAGTATAGAGGACTAATTTAATCAATCAAACAAAACCTTCACTATGTATTTATGTAAATTTTGCTGAAATCCAAGCGCGAATATTTCTGCAAAATATTTCATCATATGTAGTTGAATATTATATCGTTTTGCTAATGCACAATACACGATAAGCCACTTTGTTTAAACGTTTAAACGCGTGTCCATAAAAATTTTATATGGCTTATGTATCTTTTTAGCAATACGTCATCTTGTGCATAACTATGAGAGCTGAATGGTTTATACGAATCGATAAATTGACGGTTACATAACGTAAAAATTTTGATTTATTAAATTGGAATAAAAATTGAATAACTTGCAATCTTAAATAGAATGTATGTGCAAGCGAAACTTTGAAGAAAAAAAAAAACGGAGAAAATAATGGATTGAAACCTAAATCGTTTTCGTTTAATGAAAAAGTTTTTGTGTTTAATCTGTCTACAATGGATTAACTCAGAGAGATATTACTTTTAGTTTAAAGTGAATTTGATTTGATTTCTCTATTAAGTGGAGCGGAAATCTATATACACACTTGTATATATTGAAGTTTATGCACCATATCGCTTTGACCTAAAATCAAAATTTAGACTGTCCGTCGCACTGCTCTTTAATTATATTTTTGCATTTATGTTTGTTAGAGTGAAAGACAAATAGTATGATTCAAGATTGTTTTTGTATGACTTGTCTCTTAGACGGTGTCCGTTCTAGGTGAACTCATGGGGAAAGAAATAGGGAGAGAAGGACATGGTATGGCTGCAGCTCGGAAGCCTTAACCAATCGATTGTTTCTTTACAGCTGCGACCACATGGTTTACCGTGTTGGAAGTAAAACCGATCTACGCTGATTCGATAGTCGCGCTTGTTCTCTACTGCTGTCATGCTTGAAGATATACGAATATCCGATATTTATTTTTGTTATTTTTTCATAATTTGGAACCACTTCGTGCCTTATTTGACTTCATGAAGAAACCTTAGCTGCGCTTTCAATCTTGTTTATGTAGGCCTTCCAATCATTTAACATAGTCTGTTGTCTTGGTAATTATTGAAGACTTCGCGACGCATATCTCTACAAGTTGCAAGCATTTGATAAACTTAACATATTGCGTTTGTTGAGGGTGAAAAGCATTAATTATTAAATTAACTTAATGGTTTGAGCTTTGAGTTTTGTCTGGAAAAAGACTTATTACAATGTTCAAGACACGCGCACAGAGAGCATTATTTATTTTATTAAACTGCAAAACTCATAGACTTTAATTAATTAATACAAAAAAAATTCTGTTGAAAAAGCAACAAAAAGTATGTTTATATATATGTATTAATATTCATTATCTAAGCCGGTAACTTTTTTGCTCTTTTAATTATTCAAAGGGCTAAAAAAAAAAGATTTTAAACTCATTTTTGTACCTATTTACAATTTTTCTGGATTTTACGAATGCATCCGTAATATTAAAATATACTTTCTATTACGTATAGTGTAGGGCTAAAAAATAAATTTTTTTTCCTATGTTTTATATATATTGTGTATTTTCATCATGTCCCATAACGAATAATTTGGTTCAGATATTTGTTAAGATCTTTTAGAAGACCAACTTTTGTTGTGTATATCTAAACGTAATAAAATTAATACTTAATACGTTCTATAATGATTTCTAGTAATAGTTTCTACTTTACACACTAGCCTATGTAATCTATGTATTAGCAAAGACATCTACCATCTATCTTAACACTTGTTGCTAAGTAGTTAGAATTAAAATATAGTTGGATTTGGAAGCTTCCTCCGTCCAAATGAGGAAAAGCAAAATATTTTTGTGGACATCTCACGGATCTATATAATAATATCTTTTAAATAAGCTGAACGAATTCGCATTCGTCACGCCGTTCGAGTGGCAAAACCAATAAACTTTAAAAATGATCACTAATTTCCTCGCATGCCTGTCTCTGCCCTGCGATGAATTCGATAAATCTTATAATAATTAAAAAAAAAAAAAAAAAAAAAAAAAAAACTTGTACACAATTAAGACAGATCGCTACAATGAATAATGAAATGCATCTTTTTTGCTGCAACGATTTAACCTAAACACAGATGTATACCAATTTAAGAAAATTCTACTAATATGAACGCAATGTTTATATAATTTTTATTACAATCATTATCAATGG